CCTATTCTCCCCAACCCCTGAAAATTTGATGAGGAGCAGTCAATCAGAGACTAGAGAATTGTGCCAACCCGCGGCCACATCACAAACATTCTCGGCTTCTTCACGAAGCTTGTCTTAACTTGGTCTCACACTTTCCCTGCTTCTTAGGGGCCGTGCAGTGAATGACTGCTTAGATTTTGCACACATGGGCTGCTCCTGACCCTCTTTCTGCCCACAGCTAAAACCAGCCTGTGGAAATATGAAGGAGACCAGGGTAGTGGGGTGGCTTCTCCTGGTTATTTTCTTTCTTTTTTGCTTTATTTTTCAAGATAGGGTTTCTCTATGTAGCACCTCTGAATGTCCTGGAACTTGCTTTGTAGACCAGACTGGCCTAGAACTCACTGAGATCTGCCTGCCTCTGCCTCCTGAGTGCTGAGATTAAAGGTGTGCGCCACCATGCCCGGCCTTCCTGGCTATTTTCTTGGCTTCTGATGGGTGCCAGTGTTGGAGGAAGGCAGCAAGACTTCTCCAGGGCTGTCCTAAGGGGGAGGGGTGTGGAGGGCAACCCTTACTCTGCATACAGTTCTCATCCATGTGGACACACGTGTCCTGATGGTCCCTCTCCTTGAGCACCTCCCTACAAGCCACCCTTAGACTCACTCGGTAAACGGCGAGGAGACCCCTGCCTCATTAGGGCCTTGTTTGTCTCCAGGATCTCGCCCAATCGCTATTTTTCCTGAAACCGCCGACAACTTGGGCTATGTGGTGTCTTTGACATCTTGACATTAAGTGTTATTTCAAGCAGACCGTCTTGTGAGCTGGTAGTTGAGGGCCTGCCTCAATCTGTGTGTTTTTTCTTCATACAATGTTGTATGTTAAAACTATGAATTATCCATTAGTATTAGAAAGGGAGTTCTTTCTCATCTCACCTCTGGTTCTTAGCTCCTCTTGAAAACTGGGGCACATTGACCCCACTGGGGCAGCTGCCACTCAGTGAGTACCCTCTAACGTGAGTGGAGAGTTCACCACGGCCCCTTAACTCCTCCTGGTGTCCCGTCTGTCCTTGGAGGCTTGGGTTTTGCAAATCTGTATTCTCCATGGTCCAGCCAACAGTGGCATTCCAGAAATGTCGAGGGCCCACAGGAAAAGACAGACCAGGATGGTGGCAAGATAGCGGGGCTGAAATAAACACAATTCATTTCTTTTGAATATTCGTGAATTATAAGCAATTTTCCAGCAGGCTCTGCCTATAGAACTTTGGTGGGACAGAGAAGAAGGCAGCCTGGGAATAGGGCTTACCTGTGCTACCAATATAAGGTGCTGAAGGGATTATAGGTGTGCTAAGGTGGGAAGGAGAGGGTCCTGAAGGGGCGTGGTGAGGTGAGGAACACTCATCCTGTCTAGGAAGGTCAAGAGCTCTGGGGTTTCTTTGGACAGCAGGGCCCACCACTCAGTAACACAGTACTGAAGTGGCCACGGGGCAGAGTAGCTAGGAGAGGCAGCCTCTCTAGTCATGGAAGCACAGGCAGCTGCGTCGACTTAAAAATATGGTGGCTGACTGTCCTCCTAAGCCCTTAGGGACCTTGAGGCCACTTGGAAGGATGAGGGCCCTCAAAACCGGCGGAGGAGGAGGGGAATGGAGGGAGAACACACCCTAATCATGGATGCTTCTGGGAACATTACATGACCAGTAAGAAGCCAGTCCTGGGGAATTGCAGGTAAAACCCATGGGTGGGGAGGCAGGCCTGGGACAGGAGCTGGGTGTGTGCTTGTTGGGTGTGGAGTTTCCTTTGTGTCTGAACCTTCTAGAATGAGATCATAGAAATGGCATACAAGCTTGTGAGTAAAGTACAGGATGATGATTATAGATTTGAAAATGACATTAAAAATTACTTTTTGAGACAGAGTTCCACGTAGCGCAGGCTGGCCTTGAACTTACTAAGTAATCAAGGATGACATTGAACTCATGCCTCCAATTTCCAAATGCTGGCATTATCTGCAGTCACCACCATGCCCTGATCTGAAAACAATAAACTTAAATTATTGTCTAAATTAATCTCCATGTAGAAGAGGTTTAAAAGCTGGAATGGAATTTCCTATTACCCTAGTGGGACAGTGACCCAAGATTACACTTCAGTTGGTTTAGAAAACGGAAACGCCATTCCCTGTCCCCAGCTCTGGGTTTGTGGGCCAGGATTGACAGTTACATAAAGGTGGGAGGGGACAAAGTCTTGAGACGCAAGAAGGAATGGGGGTCAGCTGGCACAGATCCCTCTAGACATAGGGACATGCCTCTGAGCAGAGAGCGATGGGAACCTGTGTGTGTGTGTGTGTGTGTGTGTGTGTGTGTGTGTGTCAGAGGATAAATCGTGGGAGTTGACTTTCTCCTCCGTCACATGGGCTCCAGGAATTGAACTCATGTCCTCAGCTTTAGCAGCAAGTCCCTTTCCCCACTGAGCCATCTCGCCAGCCCACCTAGACCTCTGCTTCTTATGCCCTCCTCAGTTCTGATCAAGCATGTTTAGCAGTATGTGATGCAATCATGGGGACTCTGATGTCCCGTGCAGGAGGCTCAGCATCCTACTGCCCCTGTGAACCAAGCCCGCACAGTGTTCACACACATAGTTGCTCCTGAAGGTAGCTGGCACAGATTTAGCCTCACATGTCCAAGAGGAGGGCCATCTTAGGAGCTCTGCCTCCTTCAGGGCCAGGAAGCATGAGGACCACCCCAGTGGCTGTGTCTGTCCTGACACCTCTCTTCTATGGTCTCAGCAATCCCTGAGCTGAGATGGTCGTGAACACCCTTGTCTGAGTTTGGGTACCCTAGAGCAGCTGATGTAAGGATTTGAGATCAAGCAGGTTTGGGGGCAGTGGTTCCAGAAGGCACAGGGAGGGGAAGGAGGGGTCCACTAGGGGCTGTGAGGGCTGCAAAGGTTGGGTCCCTGACTTGGATCAGCCCATGAAGTCTGCAGGTCAGGGCTAGAATGCTGCAAGGTCAGCTCCCTGCCACTGCTTGGCTACTCCATCCTTGTCCCTCCTGTTTAACTCAACTATTCGTGGCAAGAGCCTCCTTGGTGACTTCCTGCTCCAAAGGAGCCTTGTACCTACTCCCAAGTTGATTTTCCTACAGTTGTGGTCACTAATTCTAACCTGCTGTAATGTCTTTGATGCTTCTTGTATCAACATGACAAGGTTTGCAGCTCTGAGCCTGGTGCTCCACCCAGGCACTTCTAGACCCAGGTACTTCCAGACCATTCTTGGAGCTAAAGGAGAGGCAGTGGTCAGTCTTCATCCACTGTCCACTTCCTCCCAATACAACTCCTGCCCCACCATCACCACTGCTACTGCTACCGCCTCTGCCACCACCAGCCCCTCCGCCACTGCCACCTTCACCACCACCGCCTCTGCCTCTGCCACCGCCACCATCACCGCCTCCACCACCAACGCCACTACCACCATTGCTACAGCTACCTCCACCACTGCTGCCGCTGCTGCCACAGCCACCACCACCACTGTTCACGCAGGGTCTTTAGCTCTTGAACTTATTGTATAGTTGAGGCTGACCTTGAATAACACTGAGTTAATAACACTGAGATGCCAGAGATGGAACCCAGGGCTTTGTGTATTCTAGGTGTCTTGGTTACTTTTCTATTGTTGTGAAGACACAACACAACCAAGACAACCCGTGGAAGAGTTTATGGGGCTTACAGTTCTGGAGGGTTACAGTCCAGGGCTGTCATGGCACAGAGCACGGCAGCAGGGCAGGAAGGGATGGTCCTGGGGCAGTAACTGAGAGCTCACATTTCATCCACAAGGACAAGGCAGAGGGAGGGAGGGAGGGAGGGAGGGAGGGAGGGAGAAAGAGGCCCTTGCTGGAGGCTGAGGCTGGGGCAGATCCTCTGAGAGGATCAGGAAAGAGGTCAGAACATCCGGCCTTGTCAGCCACACATCTGCCGTGGCTGCTTCAGAAACTCCCTTGGCCTTTTTGGTTGTTATTCCTAGAGACAGGGTCTCACTATACAAGCCAAGTTGGCCTCAGTCTTATGTAGTCCTGGGTTGACCTCAAACTCTTAATTATTCTTCAGCTTCCTAGGCAGCAGAATGACAGACTTGGGCTCCCATGTTTGGCTTTGCCCTGGGCGTCCTTAAGTCTTTCTCAACGCAACGGGGAGGGTGCTAGTTACTGTATGACGTCTCTGCTGCTTAGCTAGGTTGTGAAGGCACATACTCAGTAATCCCAGCATTTGGGAGGAGGATGGCTGCAAGCTGGAGGCTAGCCCGCTCTACTGTGAGCTCCATGTCAGCCCAGTCTGAAAAAAATCCCAAAAGAGTGGCTGAGGAATGACTTAGCAGGTAAAATACTTGCCACACAAGCATAAGGACTACGTTCGGATCCCCAGCGCCCCTGTGAAAACTGGACTGGCTCCAAGCATCAGAAACCCAGCAATGAGGGGAGGGGCCAGGGAAAGACGCATCCATGGAGCAGATTGGCCAGCTAGTCTAGCTGAATTGGTGAGCCTCACGTTCAGTTAGAGAGCCTGTCTCAAAAATGTAAGAGACTGTCTAGTTTGGTGGTGGATGCCTTTAATCGCAGTCCTTGGGAGGCAGAGTCAGGCTGTGAGTCTATGTCGTAATGAGTTCCAGGGCTGTATTAAAAGAAAAAAAAGGTGAAAGTGAATATACCATAAAGACCCCTGGCTTCCATGTGCAATTGCGAACGTTCACACATAAACCAGAAACCAGGAGGGGGAGCGGAGGGGAGGGAGAAGGATGGGGAGTCCCTGAATCAGTAGCTAGCGCTGCTCTGCCTTGTCCCCTTGAACCTTAGTTCGACAGTGTGGGATGTTTCTCTTAGCTACTGAGAATCTGGGAGTCAAATCTCAGCTCCGATCCGATCCGTGTGCTCTGCCTCCAGGTTACCCCAGGAGCAGCCTTCCCAGAGCCTTGTTCCCCCCCCCCCCTTTTTTTAGAAGATGCCCAGCAGGAGGCTCGGGAGGAGGAGCGCCTAGACTCGTCGCTGTCCTGGTGGCAGGGCTGGTGACCTGGGCTGTCCTCCCTCCCCGCAACCCCGCCCGCGGTCGCAGCTCCCGTGCAGTCCCGGCTCCTCCCCCGCGCGGGGCTCGGCGCGCAGGCTGCGGCGCGCACAGCGGGGACCAGAGCGGCTCCGGCGCGCGGAGCCGGGCTCAGCCCCGGTCTGCGTACGCCGCGGCCCCGTAGCACATCGAGTCGGCCTGGGAGGCCCGCGGGGTGCAAGCAGCGCCGAGTGCGCGTGGGACCCGGTCCCGCAGCCGGGTGCAGGAGTGCGCGCGCGCCACGGCATGGAGCCGGCCCGGGAGCCCCCCGCGCGCACCCGCCCGCCGCCCCCCGCCTCGCGCCCCGCGCCAGCAGCACCTAGGCCGCGCTCGCCGGCTGAGGCCGAGGCCCGTGGCCCAGAGGGGCTGCTGCGGCGATCGGGGTCAGGGTACGAGGGCAGCACCAGCTGGAAGGCGGCCTTGGAGGGTAAGCGCGCAGCCTTCCATTTCCTGGCCCCCCCGACTTGGGACCCAGAAAGTGGCCAGAGTCACCTTGACAGCTCACAGAAGGGAGGGTGATCCGGAGAATTCATTCATTTCGGGGGCAGGCAGATGTCACCATGGGAGGAAGAGGGGCTGCTGGGGACCACTTCTGATCACAGCCTTGACCTACCTTTGCTGTCAACTCCCTCTGTGACCTTGGAGCACCAAGCTCCAAACCTTAGTTGGGTCCGCTGCGAAGCACCTTGTCCCGCTTGCTTGCGAGTGGTGGCCTGAATCGGTAGCAGAGAAAACAGTGCTTCGTAAAAGCAAAAGCTCTAGTTCCCCGAGGTGGTGCCTGTACTCTGTGGGGGTGGGAAGGGCGCTCTGCTGGTAATGAGAATGATAAATAGGAATCCCCAGAGGCTCTTCCTAGCGAATTTGGGGTGCCATCTATCCCTTCTTGTCATAGTGGCTCAAGGAGTGACCTCGGGCTCAATGAAACCTCAGAGTGGCCTCAGTCACTCAGTGAGGTTTCGAAGAGACTTCAAGTAAACATGCTCTTTCAGGAAACTTGGGTTGCCTTCAGGTGACTGGTGCTGTCGGGAGATGCTGGAGTTGGCCACAGGGAGGGTTAGCTTCCAGATGCTTCTCAGGCTTCTACCCAGTAGAGCGGAGTCAGAGTAGGTGGTCTATCAGGGGTGTGGGACAGACTGAGTACCAGGTCAAGAAATGAGAGCCGCTGGCTAGAACGAGCCAGTCCCTTGTGGATAACTGAACCCTAGGATGCCGGACACTGATGAAGGCATTGGGAAAGAGGGATGGAGGGAGAGAAAGAATATGAGAACCGATACATCTGAGGGAGCACTCAGACCAGGCTACAGAGTTTGCTTGTTTGAAGGAGCTGTCCAGGGTTTAAGAGGACAGATCTGCGTGGGGGGGGAGGACCTGCAGGGGAAGGATAGTGGGTGAAGAGGGTGGGGACCTGCAGTCTGGAGGGGACAAGGCCACCGGTGCTGAGAAAGGTGAGGTGGCTGTAGAGCATGGCAGACCCTTGGCCAAAGACTGTGAGCCATGGCAGGATACTGACTGTGGTGGGCCGTGAAGACGCTGGTAAAGTGGTTAGAACTATGGAGGCAAAGACGGCTTTCCCAGAAGCAAGGCTATTATTACAAAGGAGAACCTGGCCGAAAGCTAGGGTGGAATAAAGACCAACCAAGCCTTCTTGGATGTGTTTCTGGCTAGTGGTTGGGTTTTCCCTGTGACCTAAACTTATTCCATTTGATGTCACTCTCTTCTCTAGGCTATCTTCTTCTTCTTCTTCTTCTTCTTCTTCTTCTTCTTCTTCTTCTTCTCCTCCTCCTCCTCCTCCTCCTCCTTTTTCTTCTTCTTCTCCTCCCTCTCTCCTTTACTCCCCCTCCCCTTCCTCCTCCTCCTTCTGTAAGTATTTGAAAGGTTCAGCTCTACTAACCTTTGCTCTGTCCCCACTGGGTAAGGCTATTTCAGGGTGGTGTGCTGGCTCTGGCTCCATCTCTGGCCCTTAATACATTGACTCTTGTCCTTCTAATGCCAGTGTGGCTGACTGGCCCTGCCCATCAGCTGAAGAAGAGGCTACACACTGGGCAGGAGGAAAGCGAGACCCTCTCTGGTGGTCCAGCACACCGCCATACTTGGCATCTTCTTGCAATGCAGCCTTGTCTCATCTGAATGGCATGGCTCCCTACTAATATCCCCGTTGTCCTCTTTTGGTCTCTGGCACAGATAAGAGCACCCCTCCAATGGCTCTTGGGTGCTCAGCGTCTTGGCCTGCTGACTTTCTACAGGACTGTTTAGTTCTGTTGGTCCTCTGAGGGTTTTCTTGATGTTCCTTGGGTATGTCCTATCTCCATCCAAAGGGACTGGTCCTCACAGGTGGCTGCCACTGTATGGGACCTTTGAGTTGGCTTGTTCAATCTTTTTTCAGTGCTAAGACACCTTCTTGGGCCCTGGGTGTATCCAGCCCTCACAGAGCTGTTCAAATAGGGCAGAGTCAGTTTGATAAGGGGCCAAGAGCTGGTAAGCTTGAGCCACCTACCCACACCCACTGGTGGGCTGTACTTTTTTCTCACCCTGTGGGTCATGTCACGATTTGTGCCTAGCGGTGCTAATCAGAGAGAGGTCTGGAGTGTAGGTTCTGTTGTGGTGGCTCCTTTCCCAGCTCCCTGAACACAGAACCCCACAGCCTGGGTGAGGAGGTCAGGGAAAGCAGCGGGGAGCAGCCGTCCAGCCAGAGTCCGTTGAGGTTGTCCTTGAGGCTGCTCTTGCCTGGCACTTTAGTTCTCTTAAGGATACATGACGGGCAGCAAGATCTGCTGGTCCTGGGTCCCAGTGGGCTTGCAGCCTCTGCTTAGGCTGGTCCCTATCTTGAAGAGAAAAGAAAAGTTTCTGGAATGATGTAACTGAGCCCCCAGAGATACCTGCACCCTGATCTAACTTTGCCCCAAGCAGCCGTGACCCACCCATGGAGTTGGGTGTGTACCTTAGTTACCATTTAACTCTCATCTCTGCCCTAATGAGGCGAGTGAGAGTGTTGAATATCTCACTCAAGGACACACTGGCCGCTAACACAGGAAACCGCCGTGGGATTTGCCATTGGCCTTCTGGTATGAAAAGCTTGCCTCTTTTCTGGCACCATCAAGGACACTGGCTCAGAGAGGCTAACTGGACAGAATCCCGCTGCGCTTTCTGAGCACACGGCTCTCCTCTCCTGGTCCCTCCGAAGAGTCTGCCACCCTCAGGAGGGGCAGCTTTTCCCTCCTCACAGCTTGAGAGAATTGGAGAGCTCCAGTCAGAAGGCCGTGGTCTAGAAGACAGTCCTCAGTGACCCGTTAGCTCTGCAAACAGAAAACAGACGTTGGTTGGTGGGGCGAAGGTTGCTTTCCCTGTGGGTGTGAGTCTGTCCTTCCAGGTGAAGGCTGGGAAAGCTGATCCAGACTACCCCACTGGGGTCTGGAAACACTGAAGATGAGTCAAGATAGAGCTATTTCTAGCCTTGGGCCTGAGAGCGGGGTAAAGTGTTCTGGGGTAGGAGAGAGGGGACAGAGTGACTCCGCTTACCTCAGGCTATATAGATTTCTCAGTGGTCACCAATTCTGAATTTTTAATGTTGAAAGTTTTTTTTATTAGGTACAAACCCACAACTTCCTGATCAAAACCACATACATGCATTTGGCAAAAGCTACCTAAAAATTTAAAAATTACCAAGTTTCACATTTAAGCATTTTAAAACAATCAGGATTATGGCTGGCCAGGCTGTACCCTGGATGGTTTAGATGTCAGCCAAGTGCTTTTTTGGGGGATGTGGGTATGAGGGGGATCTGAGGTACGAAGTTCCAGTTGTTCTTTCTAATATTAGTCCAAATCATCCCATTTAGAAGCCCGGATAACCTGCACCGAGAACTCCAGCGTATCTGGACAGGCCATTGCGTGGTGGGATGACTGAAAGTTAGGTGTCTGTGAAAAGCTGGACTGTGTTCACACCACAGGAGCCATGGTGAACCCTAACTCCCAAGACCACAGAATGTGCCCTTGGGTGGAACTGTAGTTCTGGCAGGCGTGATTAGTTAAGAGAAAGTCAGAATGAAGTTAGCGGGTCCTAATCCAGTGTGAACTGGTGTCCTTAGACAAACACAGCTACACCCCTGAAGGCCACGTGCTAAGAGTGACTGAGGCTTAGATGGTAAAGTCATGAGCCAAGGGCTTTCAGCAAAACTCCAGGAGCTAGGACGAGCCAAGAAGGCTTTCCCTGAGGCCTTCGAAGGCAGCATGGTCCTGCCAACACCTCAACTTTTGGACTTCTGGTTTTTATAACTGTGAGAGGATACCTTTTGAAGCCATCCAGCTGATGGCACCTTAGTTATGCAATCTGAGGAAGTAGATACCACATGGACTCCAACTATCCAGCCTCAGGCATCAGGAGGGCAGACAGCGAACAATGTGTCGGGAGTCGTATGGTGTCTGTGTTAGGGGTTCTATTGCTGCAGTGAAGCACTGTGACCAAAAGCAACTTGGGGAGGAGAGGCTTTATTTGACTTATTTTTCCACATCACTATTCATCATCACAGGAAGTCAAGGACAGAAACCCAAACAGGGCAGGCACCAGGAGGCAGGAACTGATGCAGAGGCCATGGAGGAGAGCTGCTTACTGGCTTGCTCCTTGTGGCTCACTTAGTCTGCTTTCTTATAGAACCCAGGACCACCAGTCCAGGGATGGCACCACCCATAACGGGCTATGCCCTCCCCCATCAATCACTAATTAAGAAAATGCTATATAGCTGGATCTTTTTTGTTTCGTTTTGGGACAGAGTTTCTCTGTGTAGCTCTGGAGCCTGTCCTGGAACTGTCTCTGTAGACCAGGCTGGCCTTGAACTCACAGAGATCCGCCTGCCTCTGCCTCCCAAGTACTGGGATTAAAGGCGTGTGCCACCACCACTGCCCAGCAACTACAGCTGGATCTTATGGAGGCATTTTCTCAAAAATCCCCTTCTTTCAGATGTCTCTAGTGTGTGTCACGTCGTCATAAGGCCAGCCAGCATAGTGTCCTTCTTCTGTCCACGCTGCATAGTTTAGAGAAAGCATCCTTATGAAGAAGTGAAGAGGCTCTTTAGTGATGGTGGGGACATATGTACACACTCTCCTTTTCTACCAAGTTCCTTCAACTCAGTTGAATAGTAAGGCTGACTGAGAATACTGTGTTCAGCGTTGAATCCTAGTCTGTATTATGCAACGCAATGGCCAAATTCTGCTTTAGGGAACCCAAAGGAATTCAGCATGGTTCTTAATTCCAAGGTGCTCAGGACTGGTCATCAGGTGCTCGGGGCTGGTCAACACTCACCGTGTTGGACACAGTTCTAAGCACTCTACCGTCCTCCCTCAGCAGCCACAGGGCATCAGTACCAGAAACCTTCATCAGACCCCAAGATCCAAGGATGCTCAGGTGCCTGAGACCAAATGGCATATTTTCACCGAATCGGCTCACATCTTCTCATACGCTTTAAACATGTCTAAAGTCACTATAATATCAAATAAATGTAAAGGCTATGTACTTTGTTGCTATTCTGTATTGTTTAAGGAAAAACAACATGACATGAAAGTCTGCACCTGTTCAGTACTGATGTGAATTTTTCTCATATCAGTCTAGAGCTGGTTGAGTGTGTGGATACGGACCCCCAGAGGGGGCGGCCCTGTGTACACTGACATAAACACCTGAGAGGTAGATGCGGACATGGGGGCAGTGGTGACTTCTGTGTGTCCACATTCAGAAAGGGCCAGAGGATGGATATGAACCCGGGAAGTGATTTCAGATGCTGGGTTCTCTAGAGGAACCCAGCGTAGGGTCCAGTGGAGCTCAGTGTTGACCCCATGAGGAATACAGCTTAGTAGAGAAATCCAGCATAACCCCCTGGTACAGGACAGCGTAGACCCTGGAGACCTCTGTGGAGGCCAGCGTAGACACCAGAGACCTCTGTGGAGGCCAGCGAATTTCTGCTGGTGCATAAACCTTACTCAAAGAAATGATTCTAAAATGTTTGTGAGTCTCACAGGTCCAGTGCCTGGCTGAATACAGAATTGCCCTCTCTATCCCTTTCGAGACCTGCTAACAAACAATAGAGGGACATTTAAGTGCTGATCACAGTGAGAACTGCAGTTAAGAGCTTGTGAGACAGGGACTGAGTGCTAATGGACTTAGGCCACCTACGAAAGACCACTCAGCAGAGGAACCACAGGGGCCACATTTGAGGATCCCAGAGCACAGGGGCAGGGGCATGGTGGAAGGTGGGCTGAAAACAGAAAGAGGGGTGTGGAATGTCTTTCAGAGATAAGGAGCCAGATCTAAATAGCCCGTCCCCATTTCTGGCAGGAACTTGAGGTAACACTCTCAAGAATCAGAGCTGCGATACAGGACCATACAAGGAGCAGGCTTTGGAGCTCACTTTCAAAGTGTGAAGGGCACGCTCCGAGCTCCGAACTTTCTTGGGAAGAGTTGTCTCCAAGTTATTGCCGTGTCAAGAAAACAGCGGTTCCTCTGGAGATGCCAATCCACGTGGGGGAAAAGCCAAGGAATTTAACAGCCCCAGATCAACCAGCCAGAGCCCCTGCCATGCTCCCACGGACAGCAGTGGACTCAGAGGCTCCAGGGAACTCATTTGTTCTCCTGCCTTAGCTGTGAACAATACCCACGCCCCTCCAGGAATCAGAATAAGCGTAGGGAGAAGCTCACAGTCTTCTCATCTCTCCCTGCTGGAACAACTCTCAGCTGTGTCTGCAGAGAAACTGTCACAGCGTAAACCAAGAGTAGGCTGCTTTAAGAGAGGACAACACAGCACAGCGGGGGCAAACCCCAGACACCTTAAATTACCATTGCAGAATGAAAAACCTGGGAGAAGGGTGAGAGGATGGAGCTGAAGACATCTTCCCAGAAATAAACCAAAGCAGTAGAGATGGGGAGCAGGTGGGGAGAAGAGGGAAGGAGGAGGGCCAATTGAAGAGCTCAGACATGTGAAGACTTTGACTTTTAGGAGGAAATCAGAAAATGAAAGAGAAGAAACCATGCATGATGTAATTAATGAAAACTTTTCCGGCACTGACAGACATGAGTTTCCAGGTTGCAGGGGCCGTCAGTTGTGCACTAGAGCAGAGAGAGACATCACTGCGGGGAAGTCAAGGCAACGCCTGAAGCAGCTGGTCACAGCCACAATTACGGGCGGAGAGAAAGAGACGCATGCATGCCTACTGCTTGACACACGTGTTCTACGCTTACACAACTGAAGCGGGAGCCCGAAGCAGGGAGGAGTGCCCCTTCCAGGGCGCTGACCCTTCCCATGACAGTGAGCACAGCCAGAGCAACCCACACACAGACCCCACCTAGCATGGACAGTCGCTTATTGAAACCCTTCCCGGGTGGGTTAGATTGTCTCCCGTTGACCATTAAGACTAACCGTCACAAGTGGATGGACCGGATGTGATATATCCATAGAGTGAAACGATGAACCATAAACAGGAGTAAGGTTCTGTCCTGTGCTATGACGTGGATGAGACTTGAAAACATGTTAGGTGAAGCCGGGCGGTGGTGGCGCACGCCTTTAATCCCAGCACTCGGGAGGCAGAGGCAGGCGGATCTCTGTGAGTTCGAGACCAGCCTGGTCTACAAGAGCTAGTTCCAGGACAGGCTCCAAAACCACAGAGAAACCCTGTCTCGAAAAACCAAAAAAAAAAAAAAAAAAAAAAAAAACAAAAAACAACCAACCAACCAACAAACAAAAAAAAACATGTTAGGTGAGATAGGCCTGACACCAAAGAAAAGGCACTGTAAGATTCACTCCTGAAGTGAGGAGGACTAGCAAATGGGGAGAGGCCAGGCAGAGTGGCGGTGGGTAGGATGGGTGTGGGAGTTACCATTTAGTAGGTGCGGACAGAGTCGAAGCTTTTGCATCCAGATGACCACACTAGCCTGCTACTTAATGCTATGAATTAAGCACCTAAAATGGTTAAAATGGTAAATTTTATGATGTGATATAAATATCACACATAAATCCGTATCACAATAAAATAAGAAAACCCTCTGTTTTAAGTCTGAAAGGTTTTCTTTATTACCATAAACATCTTAAGTGCAGATAAAAGTAAAGAGAACCTGGAAGAGTGGGTGAGGGGTGACAGATGGTAGAGGGGTGGGCAGCATGCCAGGAGGTATGGGGTGGAGGGGGAGGACCCGGGAGCAGACACCCTGTCGCAGGCTGTGAGGGTAGAATGGGTGAAGCCTGGAAGGTGCTGGAAAAGCAACAGGGGAGCCCAGGTCAGAAAGCTGTGACTGCCACAGGAGTCTGTGGGCAGTAGGGGTAACAAAACTGGGGCCGTGGTCCTGAAGAGAGTCTCTCAAAGGGCTGGCACCATCACTGTCACCCTGAGGGCTGCTTCCAGCTCTTGCTCAGTTCCACCCCATAAGGCTCTTGCTGTTAGGACTTGGGGACGGCGCTGGGGGCTGGAGACAGGACAACAGGTGGCAGCTGGTACTGACCCGTTTGTCTTTTCCTTAGATACCACCACACGCCTGCTGCTGGGGGCCATTGCGGTCCTCCTGTTCGCCATCCTGGTGGTGATGAGCATCTTGGGTGAGTGTGCACGTCAGAGTGTGTCAGCAGCACACACCTGTGTGTGCTGTGTGGACCAGTGTGCACACCTGGTCCCAGCATGCCTAGCTAGGTACATTCCTCCACGTATCAGATTACGGGGGAGGCACACAGTAAATTAGAAGTGGTTGGTTGTTAATACAATTGTAGCCTGAAATAATACACTTCTACACGGACCATGCAATGGTACCAAGGAATTAGATCATAAATGCCATGGGCATTCTAGGCTAGGCAGGCAAAGCCTCTTAGAGGTGATGATTTGGCAATACGAGACTTTAAATATCACATTCATTCAACAAACACTTAATGAACTTTGCTATATGTGAGATCCTAGACTGAGAACCGGAGTGGGGTGGGGACTAGGGAGAGGTAGGGAGGAAAGGATAGAGAGAGGGAGGGAGGGAGGAAAGGAGGGAGGAAAGGAAGAAGGGAGGGAAGAATGGAGGGAGGGAGGGAGGGAGAAGGGAGCTTCCCCCGCATTTTTGATTCTCAGTTGTATTTAGCTCAAAATCACCCTTATGCCAAAGAGGCATCCTTTGGAGGGGAATACTCTGGATGCTACACGGGAAACATTTTTAAGGGGGAGAGGCTCACAAACATGGAGTTCTATGTGGTCGTGAATGGGCTCCAGAGGTAAAGAGGGGGCAGGGGAGGCTCCCCACAGGGATTGTGTGCTCTGGGGAGACTTCTGGGAAAATGTCTTGGCCTCTGTGGAGTTTGCAGAAGTGATTGAAGCTTTTCTTCTTCCTCCTCCTCCTTTTTGAGTCAAGCACTGATGTAGCCCAGGTTGGCCTTGAATTCCCTGTGTTGTTGAGGCTGGCTCTGAACTCCTGGTCTGACTGCCTCCACCTCCCCAGTGCTGAGATTAAGGATATTCTGTGCCACACCAGGTCTGTGTAGAGTGTGCCAGTACTGGGGATCGAACTCAGGGCCTTGTGCATGCTAGGCAAGCGCCCTGTCAGCTGAACCACACCCCCCTCCTGTCCTCAACCCTTAGGTATTTATTTTTATTATTTTATGTTTGTGTGTGTGTGTGTGTGTGTGTATGTGTGTGTGTGTGTGTGTGTGTGTGTGTGTGTATAGACCAGAAGAGGGCATCAGATCCCCTGGCGCTGGAGTTATAGGCAGTTTTGAGCTGCCTCACGTGGGTGTTGGGAACTGAATTCGGTTCTCTGCATGAGCAGCTTGTCTTTCAGCCACCGAGCCATCTCTCCAGCCTCTTTACTTTTTAGGAAGCAGTAGGACCAGGAGTGGGTTGCCTCACTAAAGTGGTGAAATTCCACTCCCTATCAGTCTCTACCAAAATCTCCCTCGTCCAACTTGCTGAACGAGCAGAGGGTCTGAATGTGTTTGCAGGTAGACTGAGGACACCACGGCCAGATCAACTTTGGCTGGAATAAGGTTGCGAAAGGAATCATTTCCCCTTCATTCGTGTTCTGGATCAGCAGGTCAGGGAATGTGTGGACACGGCTTTGGTGTCTCTCAGGAGAGCCCAGGGAGGAGGCTATACCATGGACATTCCTCCCAAGTGGGCCTGAGCCAGGGCTTAGGTGTGCTCAGAGAGTGTGCAGTGATATGTCAGTGTCCGTGTGGTGGTAGGTCCCCAGGACAGTGCAGCCCCTTGGGTAGTATGCTGTGATCTTGGCCCCATCTTAATCAGTATTTTAATTAATCATTTATATGAAGAAAAAAAATCACATGCTCATGGAATTTGCAGTTTTTACCATTCCACACGATCAAAGGAGAAAACAATCAAGACAAAATTTACCTTTAAGGCCTGGATAGTGGCACACACCTGGTATTCCAGACTGGAGAGGTAGAGGCAGAAGCTCAAGGTCAGCCTTAGAGAATTTGAGGTCAGTGTCTTAGGGTTCCTGTTGCTCTGGAGAGATGCCGTGACCATGGCAACTCTTATAAAGGAAAACATTTAATTGGGGCTGGCTTACAGTTCAGAGGTTTAGTCCAGTGTCATCATGGCAGGACATGGTGGCATGCAGGCAGACGTGGTGCTGGAGAAGGAGCTGAGAGTTCTATATCTGCATCTGTGATCCACAGGCAACAGGAAGTGAACTGAGACACTGGGCATAGCTTGAGCACAGGACACCTCACAGTCTACCCCCACAGTGACATGCTTTCTCCAACAAGGCCACACCTACACCAACAATGCCACACCTATAAGCCTATGGGAGCCAACTACATTCAAACTGCCACAATCAGCTTTGGTTACATGAAACTGTGTCAAAATTCAAAACTAAAGCTTACCTATAAAACTTCAAATGAGCTAGGTACCGTGGACTCATGATTTTAATCCCTGAACATGGGTGGCAGAGGCAAGCAGATCTCTGAGTTTGAGACCAACTTGGTATACATAGTGAGGTACAGGCCAGCCAGAGCTAAATAGTCAAACCAAACCAAACCAAACCTCAGATGAGCCCAAGAGAAGGAGAAATGCATAAAGCAAAGCCAAACAAATTCCTGGATTCGGATTAACCTGTCTTCTGGTCTCCAGGAGATGCAAAGCGAAAGTTAGCCCATGACAAAGAGGTCTTGGAGGGTTGATGGACTTTCTGAACTGCTTTCCCAGAATAGTGTGTGTGTGTGTGTGTGTGTGTGTGTGTGTGTGTACACGCGCGTGTGTGCATGCACGTGTGAGCTGTGGAGGACCAAAGAGGGCATGGGATCCCCTGGAACTGGAGTTATAGACAGTTGTGAGCTGCCATGTGAGTGCTGGGAATTGAACCCAGGTTGTTTGAAAGAACAAGATTCTTCATCTCTGGCCATCTCTCCAGTCCCCATTTAAAATAATACCTTTTACACTTACGTTTCATGCTGGGATATGGGTGTAGATGTCAGGGGACAATGTGCAGGATGGGTCCCAGGGATGCAGCTCAAGCTGTCAAACTTGGAGGCAAAATGTCATTATTCACGAGTGAGCCATCCACCTGGCTCAGGACTCAAATCTAAAAGGAATTTCCTAGAAGTTCAGTGGTGAGCAGGGTAGTGGAGCTAGCTAGAGAGAGAGTGTGTGGTTATGAAAAGGCACACTGTCCTGCCAGGGTCTCCCACCCTGGCTACGGAGATGTAGATTTCAGGTCCCTTCTGATCTGAGTTCCTAGGGCTAAGGGGGAGATCTTTGCTTGGGTTTGCCCCTCTGCTGCTCCCATGATAACACACTGACCACTACTGTTCAGTGCCTCCTGATGTTCATTTCATCTGGAACTCCTCCTTGGGGCACAGTGACTTCAGCAGTGTCTCTGAAGGGCACTGAAGTCCAGACAGAGAGAAAGAGCCATGGGAAGAGGCCAGGGGACACAGCGGTGACCAGGAACACTGGGAACATGGCAGTGGCCAGGCACTCTTGGAGACACTCAGCCCCTTCTCCCTCCCTGCAGCTTCCAAGGGCTGCATCAAGTGTGAGACGCCCTGCCCAGAGGACTGGCTGCTCTACGGAAGGAAATGCTACTACTTCTCGGAGGAGCCTAGAGACTGGAACACTGGCAGGCAATACTGCCAAACCCACGAAGCAGCGCTGGCTGTGGTCCAAAGCCAGAAGGAACTGGTGAGCACCTGGGTCAGAAGCAGGGACCCTCACGCCTCCCACCCCACACCCCCCGCGCCAACTCAGTGGAATGGCTGAATGACCCCCTGGGTGTCTGTCTCGTTACTCAGCCACTGTCCAGTCAGGGGGCGATGGTGAATTCCCTCGAACCTCCATCCTCCGCTTTCGTCCAAGGCTGGCCGGCTGAGCTTAACTCAGTATTCAGAGGATGGATTAGAAGCTGTGAACACACTTGGACAATGTAAAAAACAAACCCTCATTTCCTACCATCTAAATCAAGCACTGCCTCTCCGGTCACATCTCGAGTTGTTTTGCCAATAGAAAGGCTAAAGAGCCCGGAACGCCTGAGCGCTTGCTCATTTTAGACGTTGTGGCACAGAGAAGTGCACTTCTAAAAGAGGAGTGGGCCTCAAAGCCGGTTTCTGTTTGTCTGTGTTGCACAATATTTGTGTGTCAGTTTCTGAGAAAGTCCCAGAAGTACTGGTCAAATAACCTGTTGTGGGTAAGATTTGGCCAGAAATCTAACACGTCCTGCGGACCATCCCCAAACTCCCAGCTCTGTAACTGAAGCAGGCTGTTGGGGACATTTGTGGCCAGCTCGGGAAGCTGCTCTGGTCTTGCTCCAGCAGTGACTGCCCAGGATTCCGTTTGTCATTGGTCCTCACTCAAGTGACCTCACACCGTCTCAGTACCCATCACTCTCTGCAGGGCCAGCGTCTCCAGAGAGCGCCCGGCTGGGGCCATGCCGCCGCGACAAAACTGCACTCCATGCCTGGCTCTCTCTCCTTCCTTTTGCAGGAATTCATGTTCAAGTTCACACGGAGGGAGCCCTGGATTGGCCTGCGCAGAGTTGGAGACGACTTCCACTGGGTCAACGGGGACCCGTTTGACCCAGACACGTGAGCTGAGACTCCGTTTTCTAGGAGAGAGAGGAGCTTAAACAGGGAAGGGGTCAGCCCCAGAGGCAGCTCTCTGACAGACACGTGTGGTTTTATGCTAGCTGGAATGGATAGGTCTCTACGACAAGTGCCGGGGGTGGGGGTCATCTGTGAAAGTGTCTGCATTTCCCTCTCAGTCCAGCCTGAATTGGTGGCCCAGCCGCACACAGAGCTTCTCAGTGGAAGGCACAGATAACTTTTGTCTGTGACTACTCCATCTGTGCCTCTCCTGATGGCCAGAACTTAGTCATGCCTCTGCATGTGGTTGCAAGGGATGATGGGAAGCGTGCCTTCTGTAGGTAGCAGAGTTCCACACTCACGGTGGCAAGAGAAGCCAGGAACTCTGGACACAGCTGCCCACTGGCATTGCTGATCACCTTTTCCCACGACAGCCTCTTCTAGGGCAGGTGCCCTGAGGATGGCGTTGGGGGCACCGTGGTGCTGTGTCTGTGTGGGCCAAGTAGTCTGGCTACGATCTTGGGCAATGGGGGTAGCGAGTGCGGCGGTGGAGGTGGAGTGTGGTAGCGAAGGTGCGTGGTGGTGTGGCAGGGTAGGCTTAGGGACAGGTAGGTCACTTCAGCTTGTAGTCCAGACTCCACCTATGGAGAACTGGGCCCGGACACGGCCTCTCAGGGCTGTGATAAACGCTTCCTCGTGGTGCAAACAGGATTCTGTGGGAGGTGAGGTGGGCAGAGGGCAGCTCTGGATTGGGCACCTTGGAGCTGATCTTATAAGGAGATAGAAAAAGAATAAAGAAGGCAGGGAGCGTTGGCGACAGATGTGTGGAACAGTTCCTCATCATGGAACGTTCCGGAAGCATAGATCTGGAACAGTGGAGGACTAAACTAGCAAGGCGCACCCTTGTCTGTCCCGGAAAACACTCCACTGGTGACTGGGGAGGACAGCCAAAGGGCCTGTCGGACCGCCCGTGATGATGGTCAAGCAGGCCCTCGATCTTTTTTTTTTTTTTTTTTTGGTTTTTCGAGACAGGGTTTCTCTGTGGTTTTGGAGCCTGTCCTGGAACTAGCTCTTGTAGACCAGGCTGGCCTCGAACTCACAGAGATCCGCCTGCCTCTGCCTCCCGAGTGCTGGGATTAAAGGCGTGCGCCACCACCACCCGCCTTCCTCGATCTTTTTTCTTCCACCACAGGTTCTCCATCTCGGGTATGGGCGAGTGCGTCTTCGTGGAGCCCACCAGGCTGGTGTCAACAGAGTGTCTGGCGACCCGGCCCTGGGTATGCAGCAAGATGGCCTACACATGATGTGGCCCAGGCCAGAGGTGGCCCCTGCCCCGGCCCAAGGACGGTGTCTGTTCTACCACCTGCTTCTGACAGGAGCTGCCACCCTCTCTGAATGGAAGCAGTAGGGAGGGTGGTCCTTGTCACTGTCCCCTCTCAAGGCTCCAGAGCTCTGAGGCCCTGGTTCCTGGTTTCTCTTGTTCCCAGGCAGGTCCTGCGGCTTAGCAGTTATATCTCATGTGCTAAGTAGTGTAGACATCTTGCCTCCCATACACACAAGCACACACATGTATACACATGTACACTCACATAACAACACACATGCAGGCTCTTTATAACGGGTCATCCTTCCTTGGCTTGGCCTGGAAGCTTCCTCACTGCAGCCCTGGTGCTCCTGGGCAGAGGGGGGCTGACGTGGGTTATCTGGCTTTTGGCTCAGTCGCCTGCCCTCCCCAGCGGCTTCTCTCAGGCACAGCTTCCTCAGCACCTTGCAGAGAACAGCCCAGGGCTGGAGGCCCCTGTCTCTGTACTCCCTGCCTTCCTGGGGTCCTCAGGCAGGGCCCCTGCTGTGCTGTGGTGCTGTTGTATTGGTCACTAATGGAATAAAAGGTTTGACTGCATCTATGAATCTGCTGCTATTTGTTTCCGTGTCACAACCTGGGGAGGAGCAGGGGGCAGTCTGAGGGGGCCACTTGTCCCATGTGACAAGCAGCATTGTGTAGAAACCTAGGCTGGAAAAATGAGCAACAAAATGGAACACATCTCTCAGATCGGACTTTATTTAATGTTGGCGGCGGCTGTGTTATGTTCAGCCGTGTGAAGGGTGGATTCCATTCTGGTACCTTCATTACTATTTGACTCAATATGACAAATGCCTATTCACACCTTCTGTCCTGGCTACTTTTCGGTCAACTTGACACAAGCTAGAGTCATCTAAGAAGAGGGAACCTCAGTTGAGAAAATGCCTCCATAAGATGGGACTGTAGGTAAATCTGTAGGGATTTTCTGTTGGGAGAGCCCAGCTCATTGTATGTGGTACCATCCTTGGTCCTGGTTCTATAAGAGAGTGGGCTGAGCAAGCCATGGGGAACAAGCCAGTAAGCAGTGCCCCTCCATGGCTTCTGCATCAGCTCCTGCCTCCAGGTTCCTGCCCTGTTTGAGTTCCTGCCCTGACTTCCATCAATGATGAACAGTGGTGTGGAAGTTTAAGTCAAATAAATCCTTTCCTCCCCAAGTTGCTTTGGGTTCTGGGGTTCCTCACAATCACAGAAACTTTAACGGAAACAAATACCAGGCTCGTGAAGCATTGCTATGACATATCTGACCATGTGTTTTGGGGAGGACTGAGGAAGGACTTTGGAATTTTGGGTTGGAAAAGCCATGGAGTATTCAAAGCTTGCTGAGCTGTTCTGGGGGAGCTTGGAAAATGAGAATGCTGAGGGCAATGTTGAGGGTATGGAGGCCTGGCTTCTCCAGAGGGCACTTTGAGAGTCCCTTAAAGACCCCATCAGGGATCTTTGCTATTTTGAGTTCGGAACCTGTGAGCTAAAGAATCAGCCATGTGGGGGCTGGAGAGATGGCTCAGAGGTTAAGAGCACTGATTGCTCTTCCAAAGGTCCTGAGTTCAATTCCCAGCAACCACATGGTGGCTCACAACCATCTGTAATGAGGTCTGGTGCCCTCTTCTGGCATACAAACATGCATGGAAGGAATGTTGTATACATAATAAATAAATAAATCTTTAAATAAAAAAAGAATCAGCCATCTTTAATAAGATAACAGAATCACTAAAGCTAAGTGATTGCTGGCTGGCTGGGGCTGAGACGTTAGCTGTAATTGAGACCAGCATCACGGAGGGGAAACTTTCTGAGGGAAGACATTAGCTGTAATTGAGACCAGCATCACGGAGGGAAAACTTTCTGGGGAAGTGTTTCCCTCGGGTCAGCACACAGAAACCGTGTTCCAGAGGCGGCCAAGGCTGGATCTCATGCTGACAGCCAAACTCGGTCGGTCACCTGTGAGAGTCTCCCAGGTGGTTCTGGTTCTGAAGGCATGAAGGGGTCGTGGAGAGCAGCTGAGGCTTGGCACGGTGAGAGACCAGGAGAGAATGTAGGAAAGGCACAGCCACAGTAGCAGCTGAAGCCTCAGGGCTGAAAGGGTCGCACAGAATTCAGGTTTGGTTCCATAAACTGAGTCTGGGAGAGGTGGATGGTTAAAGTAGCCCAATTGCAGCGGAGACCCCAGCATTCTGAAGACAGTGACATGGGACAAGGCCAATGACAGCAGTGGCTATGGAATGGGGCCTGCCTGATCCTGGGAGACAAGCTGTGTGGGCTGTGGCAAGCCCTTTGGACCCCAGAAGACCCTGAGGCTCTGAGTTTATGCTCAGATCGTGACTGTCCTGGTTATTCCCTCTTGGAATAAGAAAGCATTTGTTTATTTATCTATCTATCTATCTATCTATCTATTTATCTATCTATTTATTTATCTATCTATTTATTTATTTATCTATCTATCTATTTATTTATTTATTTATCTATTTATTTATTTTTGTTTTGCTGGAGCCCACAGTAGGGAGACTAAACTTTTAAAGAAATTTTGGAGTTTTACAGAGACCTTGGATTTTAAGAGAGACTAGATATTTTAGAGGCTGAACTTTTCTGCTTGATTTATTTATTGATTTTGAGACAGGGTAGCCCCTGGCTGTACTGGAACTCCCTCTGTAGACCAGTCTGGCCTCAAGTTCAGAGATCCACCTGCCTCTGGTTCCTGAGAACTGGGATTCAAAGGCATGTACCACCATCGTCCACTGAGGCTGAATTTTAAAGTATTTGAATTTGTAAAGACTGTGGAAATTTTAAAGTTATTTATGATTTATATCACAACATTTTTATTAATATGCTATCTTAGTGACAAATGGGGAAGGAAAGGTTCTAACTGAAAAGCAATGTGTTGGAGTTTCAGTTGACAAGGGCTCAGTTGTAGTGGTTAGTTTTATGTCAACTTGACACAAGTTAGAGGCATCAAAGAAGAGGGAGCCCCAAATGCCTCCGTGTCTGTAGACAGGCAAGCCTGTAGGGCATGTTCTTAATTAGTGATTGAAGGGGGAGGGCCCCGCCCATTGTGGGTGGTGCCATTCCTGGGCTGGTGGTCCTGGGTTCTATAAGAAAGCAGACTGAGCAAGCCATGGGGAGCAAGCTGGTAAGCAGTCCCCTCCATGGCCTCTGCATCAGCTCCTGCCTCCAGGTTCCTGCCCTGTTTGAGTTCCTGTGCTTACTTCCTTCAGCAATGAACAGTGATGTGGAAGAGTAATGAGAATAAACCCTTTCCTCCACAAGTTGTTTTTGGTCATGGTGTTGCATCGCAGTAATAGAAACCCTAACTAAGACACCCATCATATAGCAGACACCATGCTAGGCCTGTGGGAATCTGTATCTTTATGCTTCAGGGACATACAGGAAGAAGATGAACTAGAAAGCACTAGAATATTCTGGAACACTGTAGAAGAATGGTTTATTCTGCTTAGAAGAGGATGGGGTGATGCTCATGTTGGGCTGGGAATGAGCCTGTGAGGGTCTTCTGGTCTTTGGCACCCAGGTGTGTGTGGGGAGGGGCAAGAGGGGCTCTGGGGAGCCTCCTAGCCCCATGCAGCCTACAGTAGAGTCTGACTTGACTTCCTCTTGGTGTCTGCAATCACGAGTGGGATGGCTGGCTGGCTGGCAACTGAGTGTTGGCATTTAGATCCTGGCCCATTTTCAGAAAATACCTCAGAGGCAAAATGTGGCCCACAGGGTCCTGTTCACTCCTTTTGAGTGGATATTTTTGCCAAAACTACTCATTTCTGTTACCTTTTCTGCATGCATTCTAGATATTTTTTTTTCAGATATGGGTAATTTGGGTCTTCAGGAAAAGTCAGTAGGAGGACAGGATGTCGAACAAAGTGGTTAGGGAATTCTGGGGGTCTTGGGGTGCCCCTCTACTTATTAGTTTGGTAAAGGACCACTACCAGGCACCTGGTAGTGTCTCTCTGTAGCCTATGCTTGGCCATCAAAGTCTCTGGAAGGGCTGGAGGGTTCAGAGAAGACCCTTCTTCACGTCTTACTTATTAAAGGCTCACAGGGCTGGAGAGATGGCTTAGTGGGTAAAACACTTATTATTCTTGCAGAGGACCTGAGTTCAGGTCCCAGCCCTCATAGGCTCATATGTTTGAAGGTTTGGTTGGTCATTGGGGAGCACACTGCCCGAGAGGGATTAGGAGGTGGGGTCTTGTTGGAGGAAGTGTGTTCCTGCTGGTGAACTTTGAGCCAAGTCAGGCCCAGTGGCTCTCTCTCTCTCTTCCTGCTGCCTGCAGATCTAGATGTAGAACTCTCAGTTATCATGTCTGCCTGCACGCTGCTGTGCTCCCCACCATGAGGATAGGGAACTAAACCTCTGAACCTGTAAGCCAGCTCCAGTTAAATGCTTTCCTTTGTAAGCCGCATTGGTACAGAAAGGGTGGGTGCTCCATCCACAGGTTACTCACCAGCCAGTTCAGGACGCCATCTGCAAGTGGTCTGCGCTGGCTCAGGCAGTGCCAGTGTGGCTCCCTGGAATGCGCTCTCTGTGGCTGGGCAGGCAGGCAGGGCAGCGCCAAACCATACTGCTTCAGACAAGTGTGCACCCCTAACCCCAAGCTGTGTCCCCTCTCCAGGGAAGGCTCACCAACAGTCCCTTCCCCAGACCCATTTCTCACGTTCTCAGCTGATGTTTTTCCCTTTGGGAGTGACCCTCTTATTAGAATTAAGAGTATTCCTAACCCTAGGGCCTCAGTCTCTCTATGCGATTTTCACCCACTTCCCAACCTGAGCCTCAGGATGGAGCAGGCAAGGCCAGGGCACGGGCAGAGTGCAGGTGGGCTTTGGGGTGATGGAGGATGCTAAGGGAAGACTTTGGGGGGGGGGGCAGGGGCAGTGTGGCTCTGTACTAGCCACATAACTGGTGTTTTCTTAGCTTTCTCATGGCCTGCAAGGCAGCTAAAAGGCCAGTCTAAATGACCAGGACTAATCTTTGGGATTAGGCAATGCTTAGGAGCTGCGAGGCTGGGAAGATTTGTCCTTTGGGAAATACTTGCGAGGCTAGAGTGTCCCCTGGCTGACTGACTTGAGGTGGAGGGTGCCCTATGCATGCTTGTCACTGAGGCAGAGCCGCCTCGGGAAAAGACCTCTATTCTGCTTCTCTGTATCTCTCTCACGTGACTTCTCTAAGAGCAACACACCAAGGGGAGGTCATGCGTGGGAACTCCTTTAGCCAATAGTCTTTAAGATACTGGCCCACTTTGGGCATGGTCAAATGTACCACTTCAAAGAGCTGTAGAATATGGCATTTAAATAACTTAGGGTTCTGTTGATGTGAGACACAATTGCTCCTGGCAGCACTGATCTATTCCTGAGAGAATATTGGGCACTGAAGACACGCCACTTGGAGTTTGTTTTCTTCTTGGCAAAACTGGCCTTTGGGCAAAGAACTGCCCACGCCCCGACCACTGACAAAATGCATAGTGTCCAGACTGGACAAACAGGATACAAAAAAAAAAAAACCCAAAACAAAACAAAACAAAACAAAAAAACCTTCAAAATCTTGCCAAGACAGGGTAAGATGGTTTTAAATTTTTCTTTTTAAAAATGGTCTGTCAGTTACTCTAGGCCTTAGCCAAAGTTGGTTACTCCAACATTGCAAATGAGACTTTGGGTGATTGCCCAGGTGGCCAATTATCTCTGTCATTTATTGTACCTTTTGGAAGTTGCTTGATTGTGCTTCCTGCTTATTCAAGTAATATTGTTTTCCTTCTCAGGTCTTTGATGAGGTTGAAGACTAGATAGTCATAGTTACTTTCCTCTCATGACTTGACCAAGCCATATCTAATACAAGACTTAGACGCCTTAGGATAAGATAACTATTAAAACATTTAGCATGAGGGAGGGGGAATGGAGTGGGGGGAGGGGGAGAGGAGTGGGGGAAGGGGCGATGTGTGGGAGGAGGGGGAGGGAAATGGGAAACGGGGAGGAGGCGGAAATTTTTTTCAACAACTAAAAAAAAAATAAACAAAAAAAGAAGAAAAAGATAAAATTATACATCCATAAATGCAATTCAGCATTCAGAGAAATGATGACAAGTGCATCCATATCATTACTTCTACAGTATACTCATGATGACTGAAGGCTAAGAAACTCCTTCTTATATTAACTCATGCTACTTTCTTGCATTGACATGTTATAGTTTTAAAGGCTGCTTTTATTTCACTGACAGCATGATATTCAAAGTGGAAAAATCCGAATTTTATCATCAATCAAACCTTTATGTCTGAGTCCTTAATATAAGAAATGAAAAACATTTTTGTAGCATAGATTAATTTATATTCCTTTTAAGATTTATGTAGTTAAAGTATAAGGGAGTGTAGTTCATTAACCTAAGTTTCATTTTTATTCAGTCTAATGATTACAGTACTTTTCCCATAAAATTTTGAAATCTCAAAATCCTATACTGTACTATTTATACATATGTTGGCTTCCCTTTTATTATATTGCTAATTTTGATAATTTAAATGCAGTTTTTACCATATATCATAATTTCACC